TAACTTAGAGTTTGTTAACGAGGTATATACATATGCAAAATAATATATATATTTATATTTTTTTTAAAGAAAATAATACTTATTAAATTCATCTTTTAATAAAGCTACGGTCATATTATTGTAGAAATAAAACGCGTTGCGATTGTGCAATTCGAATATATGGGATTTCACGTGAACCGGAGACAAATAACTATATTATAGTTATGCCTTATTACCATAAGGGAGACATTAGAACCATTTTACGAGGAAAAAAAACAAGACTCACATGGCAAGAAAAATTTCTAATATTACATAGCCTTTCAGATGCATTAAAAGAGATTCATTCAAAAGGACACACGCATAGTAATTTACATCCTGGTAACATATTTCAAGTGTCCCAAGGTCCGAGTATACGTATTATTATCGGAGATTTCGGAATGAATAAGTCAACATGTAGAGATCCAACATCTTTAGAACCTTATGGTGTTGTGCCTTACGTGGCACCAGAGATTTTACGTAGTTGGCCATATACTCAAGCCTCGGACATATATAGTTTTGGTATGATAATGTGGGAATTGTCGTCGGGTAACCCTCCATTTTGGGACAGGGCACATGATGAACATTTGGTGTTTGATGTCTGCGAAGGATTACGACCAAATATTGTGGAGGAAACACCAGAATGTTATATTGAATTGATGCAAAAATGTTGGAGTGATGAACCTTCGAATCGTCCTAGAGCCCATGAAATTTTTCAAACCATTCAATTATGGGATAATTCACTATTTAAATCTATAGACGAAAAGCTGTCAAGCAATTCAAAAAGTTCCGATGGAAAAGTCATTGTTCATCCTGAGGCTATATACACAAGTAGGCCACTTAGTGGAATAATCACACAAGGATATGGGCTTGAGTTTACACTTCCTCAGGATAATTCACGCAAATCTATTCATTCTGAAGGTAAGCATATTATTAAATATATAGTTATAAGAACTATTTTTCCAGCAATTGGATTTGACAAATTGAAATATTATTTTTCAACATAGATTCTGAGACTCAAGATGAAGACAAAATTAGTGAGACTCAAGATAATGACAAAATTAGTGAGACTCAAGATAAAGACAAAATTAGGGAGACGATCTCGAAAAAGAGACGTAGTGACTTGGTTCTTAATTCGGTCTCAAATAATGATATCCCAACTATTAAGGTACATAAATATGATTCAGAACCTTCAGACGAAGAGGATGATTAAAATGATTAAATATTTATTAGCGTTAGTAATTTTAAATGATATTATAAATGATATTATAAATTTATTGTTATTAAGTTTATGCAGTCTAATTTATTTACATGAATGATGTTTATATAAGTTACATAAATGAGATTGTTTAACAGCTAGTGATATGGGCCGACCCCGGCCCATCGGCCGGGCGGGCGGGCGGGCCGACCCTCGGCCCGCAACTTTATGGGTCGGGGCCGATTAAGATAGTATAGTTTTTTTTTGGTAACGTTTGCGCAGATTGTTTTGCCATTGCGAACCTATCAAATTACACTTTATTTTTTAGTAACAACATATATATGAATAAATAAAGGGGAATAATCGATTTTCTATTAAATTACAGTAATTGTTTTACAATCTGGCTATTAATAGAATCAATTTAACTATATCTTCTTATTAATCCAGAATTTTCTGATTTTGAATGTAAAGTTATCATACGATTACAATATTCTTGATTATAATCAGGTTGAATGTCATAATCAATAATTAAAGTTTGGTATTTATTATTAATAATATCGCTAACAATAATAACGATAGTTATGTAGTCTAATTAATAAGTTGATTAATAATACATATCATTAATCGGCTTCGTGTTCTTTTTTAAATAAATAAAAGATTAGTTACCACTTAAAACTAACAAATTAAGCAAATAATTTTTTGCTTTCATTAAGTTCTTTTTGTTTTATTATGTTCGCAAAAAAA